AGAGAAGCTCTATAAGAAAGACTTAGTCATTGGATGGGGAGTAATAAATACAGCTTGGGGTAGCTGTTACTCAAATCTGTCGCCAATCTAGGCCCATGAAAGCATGTCTAGGTTCCTAAGAGGAACAGAGCTCTGAGTAAAACATAAAGAGCTGTTTCACTGAAAACCTTCTAAGATATTGGGCACAAGCAGTCTGCTTCGGGGTTCCCCTAAAAGAGGTCAACACAGTAGTCTCCTTTTCTTCAGGCTACACCATGGCTTTGCTGTTTGGCTTGTATCACAGATCCTGGTAAGGAGCCTGCAGCGCCTAGAAGAGCAGGGCAGGGGAGGGGGGCACTGGGAGAGAGGGGGCGTGCAAATGTACAAGAGACCTCCCACCCCAGAGGCTCCCAGAAAGCTAGAGGTGTCCTTATTCTGTTAGCAGGCTTGGTAGGTAGAAAAGCAGGGAAAATTCAAGTTATTATTACTAATCTGCCCCCATTAGTACTGTGGTCGATGAGTTTGAATACTGTTCCCAATCAAATAGTTCTTACTCAGTGATGTGTTATTAGGTAACTTCTAATTATGCATAGAATCACACACTCTCCTAATGGGAAGGAGGGAACTCTACAACAGTGATTTTCAATCTGTAAAGGACCAGTATTTTTTTTTTTTTTTAATTTCAGTGGACTGATACTTCTGCAAAATATAGGAAAGGTGAATTACAAGAATACTAGGATAAACTGATGACATCAAACATATAAGTCCCAATTGTTTATTATTAGATTCAGTAGGCATAAAATTACTCTGTCAAGGTGTTATGAAAGTTTCCAGAAGCTAATTTCAGTACTTGTCTAGCTACAGACGGGTCACAGTTTATGGAGGTGTTTATGGATGTGCACTGGTTGGTAGACCCTGCTTCTTGCGGGTTCATGTTTTCATCCCACCTCTCATCTGATGCCACCTGAAAGAACTCCATCATCCACAAGTCCGTCCTCTAGCCACACACTTCAGTGAGTGGGATAATGACATTTTGCGTCATTACCCATTGTGGTTATGGAGGAGAGTGGCCTTGTTCTTTTTTTTTTTTTAAAGATTTTTATTTATTTATTTATTTATTTGAGACAGAGAGAATGAGAGACAGAGAGCATGAGAGGGAGGAGGGTCAGAGGGAGAAGCAGACTCCCTGCCGAGCAGGGAGCCCGATGCGGGACTCGATCCCAGGACCCTGGGATCATGACCTGAGCCGAAGGCAGACGCTTAACCAACTGAGCCACCCAGGCCCCCCGAGAGTGGCCTTGTTCTAAGGAGATACATGCAGAGTAATGACCTCTGCAACTGAACCAAGGCCTAGAGAGAGAAAGGGAGAGGAGATAGAGGTGGGGGTTAGAGGAAAGAGGGAGGGAGATGGGGGGGGGAGCAAGAGAACTTGTGGCTTTGATACCTGCCACTTCCATGTTTTTTTTTTTTTTTTTAAAGATTTTATTTATTTGACAGAGAGAAACATAGCGAGAGAGGGAACACAAGCAGGGGGAGTGGGAGAGGGAGAAGCAGGCTTCCCGCAGAGCAGGGAGCCCGATGCGGGGCTCGATCCCAGGACCCTGGGATCATGACCTGAGCCGAAGGCAGACGCTTAACGACTGAGCCACCCAAGGCGCCCCCTTATAATTACCTTTAATCATATCATCACACCTTTAAAAAAATCTCAGTATATATCTCAGTTGTCTTTCAAAGTCAAATTTTTTATTCAAGATTTTATGCAATCTAATCTTTAGGACCTTTTTAGTTTTCTAGATTGCTTACTCATGGTTGATTAACACTCTCATGAATAAAATTTTATGCCTTTCCATGTTATTACTTCTCAGTCCTAGAATTCCCCCTCACACAGAATTCTATTGTATTCACTCTTCAAGATTCAGCTCAAATTAATTAAACTTAAATGTAGTTATATATCTTATTATACAAATTTGTTCAAGTCCTACATTCTTCTTGCTTTCCTTGATTAGCTCAGCTAAATGTTAACCCTAATTTCCAGGGTTTAATACAGTGCTTGGCACATATGCTTAATATATACTTTTTAAACTCTCTGATAGTACTTACTTTACAACACAGGATAATGCATTCCTGGTATATCTCAAAGAGTGGCTTTGAGGTTGAAATGTTTGAGGTTAGTAATTTGCATGGTATGTGTGTAAAAAGGTATCTGTAAACCATAATGTCCCATACTATTATATTTTCAATTGTTGCTTTCCCTTGAGGCAACATATGGAACGTATAACAGCTGTCCAAAGGCCTAAGGCAGTGGATAGAATGCTTGGGTACTCATGGTCTATGAAGACTTTCCAAGATGTGTATGAGCAGGACATTCTTTTTTTTTTAAGATTTTATTTATTTATCTGACAGAGAGAGACAACACAAGCAGGGGGAGTGGGAGAGGGAGAAGCAGGCTTCCCGCCCAGCAGGGAGCCCGATGCGGGGCTCAATCCCAGGACCCCGGGATCATGACCTGAGCTGAAGGCAGACGCTTAACGATGGAGCCACCCAGGAGCCCCAGGACACTCTGTTTTAATGTAAGCAGTTCTCAAATCCTCACTTCCCTTAGGTGGCTGTTCCTAAAAGTGCTCTGCCTAAAGATCCACCTCTGGGGTCAGAGTGTGAAGTTCTTTCCAGCCTTCTTATCCCACTTGCCCCTCCCCTGCTTTACAAAAGAAAAGCATAATTCTTCCCCATCCCAAATCTTAGGGGTGGGTTGGGGGGGAAAGCAAAAATCTCCAGGTTGGGGACGTCTGGGTGGCTCAGTCGGTTTAAGCATCTGCCTTTGGCTGGGGTCATGATCCCGGGGTCCTGGGATCAAGTCCCATGTCTGGCTCCTTGCTCAGCGGGGAGCCTGCTTCTCCCTCTGCCTGCCGGTCCCCCTGCCTGTATTCTCTTTCTCTGTTTCTCTCTCCCCACCCAGAGATCTTAAAAAAAAAAAAAAAATCTCCAGGATGCCAAAAAAGGAACAATTGACTAGTGAATGAGAATGGGTAACACATCCTTTAGAAGTCAGGAGGTTTTCTGTTACTTGCTTTCAGCAAAGTTGAAAGAGAACCTAATCAGAGTTGTCAGCTGATAGATCATGTAAAGTATTTTTTTGTTAGTTCTTTATGTGATTTTTTGGGGGGGCATATAATTTGGAAGGAGTTCAAAGAATCAAGTGGCATTACTAAAAACTCCATTCATTTTCATCTACTTATTTATGTGAGTAAGTTTGCTCATTGCGTACATCCATGGCATTGAAAACTAGGAATAGAAGTGATATTGAACTTGTTCTCATTCTACTCAACTACCGATAAACTAGTTGGGGGTGCCTGGGTGGCTTAGTCAGTTAAGCAGCTGCCTTCAGCTCAGGTCATGATCCCAGGGTCCTGGGATCAAGTCCCGCATCGGGCTCCTTGCTCAGTGGGGACCCTGCTTCCCCCTCTCCCTCTGCTCCTCCTCCTGCTTGTGCTTGCTCTCTCCCTGGCTGTGTTAAATAAATAAAATCTTAAAAAAAAAAAAAAGCTCAAGTTAAAAAAAGGTCCAACTCTTGATCTCAGCTCAGGTTGATCTCAGCTCAGGTCTTGATCTCAGGGTCATGAATTCAAGTCCTGCCTTGGGCTCCATGCCGAGTGTGGAAACTACTTGAAAAACAAACAAGCAAAAAACTGGTTGGAACTAGCAGTTCCATCTCTGTAACATGCATTTCCAACAAAAATTTACTTTTGTGTTTAATATAAGTATTTAAAGATTTATTTATTGTTTTAGAGAGAGACAGAGAGAGGGAGAGTGTGCATGCAGGGGTGGGGAGGGGAAGAGGGGGAGGGAGAGAAAGAATCTCAAGCATACTCCCTGCTGAGCACACAGCCCTACCTGGGGCTCAATCTGAGGACCCTGGAATCATGACCTGAGCAGAAAACAGGAGTCGGAGACTTAATGGACAGAGCCACCCAGGTGCCCCACTTATATAAGTATTTAAAATATGTGTTTTGATCAGTTGAAATAAGACTTCGAGTTTTCCTGTGATCACAGGAAATTAAAAAACGACCCTTAAATTTCAATTTATTTCATTTCATTACAAGGAAATATAAGATGATCAATAAAACAGTTCAAATATAAAATCTCTTATTAGGGTAAAATTCTGGAGGGAATATGGAATGTAAATATGAGTTCCAGAAGATAAAGGAAGGATGGAAATTGACCAAGTATAAAAAAAATTGTATTTTAAAAAGTGGATGTTGGTGGGTATTAAATCCCTGCGGTAGAGTTCATTGGCTTTATCTACAAGGGTGACAATTACGAAATATTGATAACATGCTGGAGAAAAATGTAGATGTCTTTTTAAACTGTACAAGGATGTACAGAATTTAGAGGACTCATGAGCTAAAAAGTTTGAAGATCTTGAACATAAGACACGTTTGCTCTGAGACTGACTTAACCGTTTCTTGGGGTATTAAAACGAAGGTTGGATTGAAACCTGTGGCTCTGTGCTACGTGTGGACTTAGTACCTTGCATTGCATTATTTATTTTTATTCATTTTAATCGTCTCTCCTCGTAGATTGCAAGCTCTCAGAAGACCAGGGACTTGTTCGATTCCTGGCTCATTGCCCGTACACGGGGGACACTCCCCAAACATCCCCGGAATGAATGACTTTATCGTGAGAACTCGGAGGGCTGTTAAAATCCCCGGCTAGCACTCAGGCTTTCGTTCTGCGTGTCCCGGCGGCTGCGAGGCGGGGGAAGGCGTGGGCAGGCCCCAAGGAAACTCTGAGCACTCGGCTGGTCTGGGCGGGGGCCCGGCGGGGACACGGGTGGGGGCGCGGGCGCGGGCGCGGAACCCGCGGCCCGGGGGAGGTGCTATCTCGTGCCGCCGCGCAGGCGCGCAACCGTCTCCGCGTGAGTGCGCGCAGTCGCGCGCCTGTCCCCGCGCGGGCTCCGTAGCGCGTGTGCAGGCTGACGCAGCTCGCGGGCCCTCCTCCTGCTCTGCAGCGGCGTCGGCGGAGTTTTGGGCGTTTGGGAGGGGGCGAGGGAGCTAGAGTCAGGAGAGGGAGGCGGCGGCGGGGAGGAGGAGGAGGAGCAGGCGCCGCCATGGCTGCCGCTATCACCGACATGGCCGACCTGGAGGAGCTCTCTCGCCTGAGCCCTCTGCCCCCCGGCAGCCCTGGCCCGGCGGCGCGGGGCCGGGCTGAGCCCCCCGAGGAGGAGGAGGAAGAGGAGGAGGAGGAAGAGGAGGCCGAGGCCGAGGCGGTGGCAGCGCTGCTGCTGAACGGCGGCGGCGGTGGGGGCGGCGGCGGCGGAGTGGGGGGCGGCGAGGCGGAGACGATGTCGGAGCCGAGCCCCGAGAGCGCCAGCCAGGCCGGGGAGGACGAGGACGAAGAAGAGGACGAGGAGGAGGAGGACGAGAGCAGCAGCAGCGGCGGGGGCGAGGAGGAGAGTAGCGCCGAGAGCCTGGTGGGCAGCAGCGGCGGGAGCAGCAGCGACGAGACGCGCTCGCTGAGCCCCGGCGCCGCCAGCAGCAGCAGCGGGGATGGGGACGGCAAGGAGGGCCTGGAGGAACCCAAGGGACCGCGGGGCAGCCAGGGCGGCGGCGGGGGCGGCAGCAGTAGCAGCAGCGTCGTCTCTAGTGGCGGCGACGAGGGCTACGGGACCGGGGGAGGCGGAAGCAGCGCGACCTCCGGGGGCCGGCGAGGCAGCTTGGAGATGTCGTCGGATGGGGAACCCCTGAGCCGCATGGACTCGGAGGACAGGTCAGTGCACTGAAGCGTTTTCCCTTTCCTTCTTCATTTTACACTCGTGTGCCCCTCAGAGGGGGCCAAGGGGACTTTTTGCTGAGATCCCCTTGCTCCCCGAATCTTCGGCCCCTCCCCCAGGCTCTCAACTCGGAAATCTCTCCTGGTCGCCGCGCCCCTCTCGCTGCGGATAGCCGCTTCCAACTCTCAAACCAATTCCCCCCCAACTCTCCTTTCCCCGCCCTCTTTCCCCTCGCTCTGCACTCTTTACGGACCTGCGGACAGCTCTAACTCAGAAACAAACCTCAAAGTAGGCCCAGATCCTCTGGCGGAGCTTAAGAGGGCCTTGATGTATACACCTCGGTACACAGGGTTAGCTTCATCCAACCGTGTTCGCGAACACTTGTCAGAACTATAATTGACAAGTGTTTTCCAACATGGCTGGTCTCGCCTGGATTTAACAGAACTTCCTTGTTAGGGAGGAGACCCCCCAACTATCACTTTTCACTACTTAAGGGAAAGACTAATCTTTTATATTTAATCAGTACTTCTAAAATTCCTCCTGTGTAGTCATTAAGATACTCTCCAAAGTGATTTTAGTAACTTCTATATTTTTGTGTGTTTGATCAAATCTGGGAGAAAGTTTAAAACAGGTATAAATTAGTGTAGAAAAGAATAATGAATTGATGTCCTTTAAAATAATTTTACGGAATCAACGAATTGGAATCGTAATAAAATACAGTCTGGAAGGTACATCATGATAGCATCTGGTTTATAATCCTTATATAATGCTTTAGCATGAATGTCATAATTTTAGATGATAATATTTAAAGTCATGTATTGGAGAGATCTCAAGAAACTAGCTTTTTTCTAAAGCTTGTTAGAAATAACGTGGATACTGACAAAAATACACTTCATTTTTTCCGAGACATTAAAATTTATTACATTAGTATGTTTTATTTGTTATTATCATTACTTCTGATCACTTTGGAAAACTTTATTTTAACTAATTGGTTTTTAAGGTACTTTTTAAACACAGAGAGAGAACCACGTCATGAATTTTATGCTGCTTCTAGCATTTATTTTGACTATCAGTGTTTCGATGAACAGATTTTTAACCATCGGTATTGACTTGGCTTTAAAAGTTTAAGTATTCTAAAGTTCTAGGAATTCTGATTGGTAACTAATAAAAAGAAAACTTTGGTTTATGTTTAATGTTATAAGGAATACAAAACTCTAAATATTATGAAAATACAGCATTAGATTCTGTTTGACGTTTACTTTAATATCTAGTGAAAAAATATTTTGGATGGGATAAAATAGACTGTACAAACCCTAGAGAAATTGTGCTGAACTGTATAGGCATGGCAGGAAAGAGAGTCTTCAAGACAATTTAAAATGGATGTGAACCACACAATGAAGCATGTTATTTATCATTTTATTATATCCTCCTTCATTGATACCAGTAGATATTTGAAAGTTGACATCAGTTTATGACGTTAGCATCTACCACAGTTCTTCCATTTACCTAGCGCGTGCGGGCACACACATAAACGCTTAGCACTGCACAGTTTAAATGTCTGTCCCATTCTCAGAACTCTGGTGCAAGATAGGAATTATTTTGACTTCCATTTAACAGATGAAGAAGCAAGTTGAGTGTCTTACTCAAAACAGTAAGTCTAGAATGGAAGTGGTGGTAGAGCTGGATCTGAACAAAGGTTTTCAAGCCCCCTGCTATTTCCACTTCACAAGAGTTAGAATACTTCAACTTAAATAATAAGCTGTGTCAGGATTTTTTTCTTTTCTTTTTTTTTTTGAGTTAATATCTATGCTACATCCCTTTAGGAGATGATGAACTATTGGTCAAGTAATATTTCAGGAAGTGGAGTTTTGGCTTCATTGCATATTTTAAGATACTCACTGGAATATCTAACTTTTACATAATCTTTCAGAGTAAGATATTAGAGCCACAAGTCCAAATAAGGTTAAAACTTGATAGTCAAACATACTTGCTCTTCTTAATTCTTAAACATTAGAGACCATAAAATATTGTAATCATTTTACTGTTTCAGGGTAATAGATTTATCACTTGTATGAAAAAGCTTTACTGGTGAAACTGGATTTGGTGATTTTAATAATCTTCATTCTTAAACGACCGACCCCTTGTTGCCTTTAAGTTTTTTTTTTTTTTTAAGAGTCCTTTTAAATTTGGAAAGGATTCATAGTTCTTATGGACTGTCCTGCAGATTACACTAATCTATGTGGATTTTATAAATTGATTTCATGGTAGGAGGCTTTTATTTTTGTGACTGATGGAAGGATATCGTGATTTTAAAGTGCTTTTAAAAAACTTGGGGCATTCCTATCAATGATTTTATTATTAGAATTTACTGTTTTTTTTAGAATGCCTATTCAGTTTTTCTCTTACTTTGAAAGTAGATCATACTTTTGAGTTAACATACTTTAGAATTTGTTGAAATGTCTTATTTTAACTGTAAGTGCTTCTTTTTAAGAAACATTTAGATATAAAGGCTTAGGTATTAAAGCTCATGATCCAAGGTGTCAGTTTACAAACATGTATTGGAAGTGTTGTGTGGTGAAAAGAGACTAATTTATAAAATGAATAAATGACACTTGGTACAAAAACATTGATTATTTTCCCCATGAGAAAGTTATTCAAACCAGAGTAAGGGTGTTAGTGTGTTTATTTTGGTAAAGTTAGAAAACAATGTTGATACGTAATTTATTTTCTTTAGGGGGATATTTAGCTACTCGAGACCACTATAAGCTAGCTTTTTTTTTTTTACTTCAAACTTAAGCTTAACTACTTTTTAAAAAATTACTGCCTGTTAAAAAATAATCACCACCGTTTTAAAGTTAATTTCTGAGACTAATTTTTGAATAGAATTTAAAATATTTCTGAAATTTTTTTAGTTTACAAATTAGTTCTAGCTATTGAATCAGATTATACATTGAAAGTATTCTTACCTTTTCTGTATAAGTGAATTGATAATAACTACTTTTGTGGTTGTCTCATATATATA